GCTGGCTGAAATGCGTGAGGACTACAGATTTTGCGTTCATCGCCGCGCCGATACCGAGTGCTTCGGAGGTGGTGGAGTGTTTCTTGGCCTTTGCGTCGCCTTGCAGTTCATCGTCGAAAGTTGCTTCGTGGATGAGGACTGTGGTGTCTGCTCCAATCTTGGCGAAGTGACCGCTTGGTCTGCAGTCGCCTGAGTAGCTGACCTTGAGTGGCTTGATTTGTTCAAGGTCTGCTGGATCGCGTGGGAATGTAATTGAAACAGCCATGGCACCGTGGCAATGCGCTACTCTGGAAGCTTGTATTTCGTTGAAACCAAACAGTTTCTCATACTGTTTTTTCGGTATGGCCGCGTTCTCAGATAGTGTCTTTCCGAACGAGTTCAGTATAGACAACCTCGAGCCATTCTGATATTCGTTGGGGGTGATTTGAAGAGGAAGAATTCGACTGTAGCCAAAGTCCTCAATGGCTGAGTATTCGTTAAGCCATTGGAGCATACCACTGTGGGATACGACAGCAAGACCGTATGCGCTAGGGTCTATGTTGCTCGCGGAAGGGTCCAGGGGCTGGGGGTTTGGAACAGCATTGTGTGCTACTTGGTACCAAGCACGAATTACTGATGCTGTGCCTAGGTGGTGATCGGCATGCAAGTGACTGATCCAGATCATACGTAGATTCTTGAAGATATCGACGAGCTCCTCGTGGGGAAAGACTCTTGAAAGCTGTCCCAATGTGTTCTCTCCGCAATCCAAGAGGTAGTTGCCGATGCCAGGAACGCGCACCAACGTGGAAGATACGTTACGGTACTTGGACGGAAGGGCAGAACCTGTTCCAAGTGTCGTTACCTCGGTGTCACGACGCGCTAGTAGCTTACTCCATATCTGCATCTCTCTGCTTTTGCTTTTGACCTCCGCTTGAGCCTTTTGAGCCAATTCGAGAACCTCAGGCGGCGTTGTAAGTGCCACTTCATCGGGTACGAAGAGACTAGATATAGTGTTTTTCTTTGTGGCAAACTGCGGCATGAGATTAAAGCCAAAGCCTCGGTCAGCGCGGATGGCTCCGGAGGGCAACGGCGGTGCTGTCGACATGCCAGTCCTGTATATACTTGTTTGCGGTACAGTAGTGTTGTCGAAAACGGGTGTGCGATATCTTGAAGGATCAATCTGCCCAAGTCGCGTGGCTTGTCCCGCTACCGAGTCGTGTGCGATGCGATTTGGCGCAGTATCTAGAGACGATATTACGTGTTCTACGTTGTGCATCTTGTTCCTGAAATTGAGTAGATCTGGGTGACCTGCGACGCCTGGACCAAGCATCCAAACGATAGCTCGAATGCCAGTCATAACCTCTGGAGAGCTAAGCTCTTCTCGCTGAAGAGTGCTTTCAATGTATTCAACCGAGGGGATGTCCAAGATGGCGATACCCTGACCGGGCCTATCAGCGCCCATGACCTGATCTGGGGTAATCATCTCGCCGTCCGCGTTCGGTACCGATATGCCATTGGTGAGCTTTCCGAAATCCGGTCCTGGTTTGACACCTAGCGCTTTCGCGCGTGCGACGTCGAATTGACCACGAGCTGAATGCGACCGCACAATGTACGAAACACACTCTGGTGCTGGCCTAGTCGGTGGTAGCGCCAGAATCATAGCGCCAGGCCACGGCGTCCTGGTCCAGACTTTAATGTCAGGAAGAGGCTCTTTGCCCCCTGGCATCGGCCCTTGGTAGGCCGAGAAGCCGTGTGTATCGGGGTTACGAATGAATATTTGAGCAGGCACTTGTACCTCAGAAATGTGGCGTTCTGCCAGTGTATCCATCTTCCAATTCGAATCGAACATGTACTTGATGGTCGCTGTTCGTATCCGGTCGTACCTTAACTCGCGGTCTTCCGGACTCTCATTTTCGGGAGCCTGGAGTCCGTCAAATGTATTCTCGTGTTCATCGAAATACCGTCGCCGCGTCTCCAAACCAGCCTCCGCTTGCGCATCGACTTCAGAGTTGACAGGCGCTACTGAGAGAGCCCAAACTTTGATATTGTCGTCCTCCCACGTCGGGGCTATAGCACCATTTGCGTCCTTCTCGGGTGACTGCTTCACGTACTCGGTCGCATTGATGGGTATGCCCTTCCTGAATATGAACCTCCGACACGTTGCCAGTGTATGTTTCAGATTGGGTGGCCCATATATGTCGAAGTGCGGCTTCGCGGGTGCTTCGCCTTTCTTTCCCCGCTCTTGAGCCAGACGAAAGGTATCCATGGCGGTGGTGTATGAGCTGGTGGTCGAGTCGGCCAATGTGAGCATCATGCCAATCAATCCACCCATGTTCCTCCACTCTGTCCTGCCTGTCATGAAGAAATCTTGCGCCTTCAGCAGACGTGTACCCTGCTGCACCATCGCCCGCTGGGTGCCCTCTGCCAGGTTGCCGAAAACATAGTGCTTGCTTGCCGTCCGCAGCACGAGCGTTGTTCCCGGCGTATCGGCCGTAGGCGTTGTGACGACCTCAACGCTGCACGACATGTCTCTTCTTCTCAAGAACTCGGTTCTATTGAACTCCGCAGGAGGCTTTGTATGTTTGTTCTTGGGCTCGGAGAGTTCAAGGTTCGGCGGTTGCGTAAGGGAGCATGAGGCTGATCCGATTGGAGCTTTGGGGGGTTGATATATCAGACGTGTGAGTACCTTCGCTTCTGCTAGGTGATTCGCCTTGCCGCTTTTCGTGTGTTTAGATGCAACTGGTTCAGGATCGAGGGGTAAGCGGTAGATCTTCGAAAATGTTCGAATGGATGGGCGAAACCGAGGAGTAGCTCTGGAGCGGAGAGTAAAGGCAGCGAAGTTCGTATGCGCTATGGGCCGACCGTATCGTGGGCGCAATGCGAAGAATCGGACATTAGTCGTAATGGTCGTAGCTCGCTCCGTGGCGCTAATTGTGGAAGCCAACTTGACGAAGGGAAGGAATGACACGAGAAGCAACTATGTACAACCCTGGAAGCATCAGGGTGAGAGAGCGCGTGCAACGAGTCGAAATGATGCGCGTCACTTTTCGCGATGCGTCAACGATCAAGGCTAGATTTAGGCGAAGTAGAGGCCCGTGCGAACTAAACCCGAGCGGACTTGTTCCGCGACACCCTAACTCTCTGTCCATCACTCCATCTTGACCAGGAAGCTGTTTTCATCGGGTATCATTATTCGTCTGAACTATACTACTTTTTTTCCTCACGTTGAATCTTCGTACGCCTCAAACACTCATCGCTTGACACATTCTAGGCATTCTTCTTCCGGAGCGCTCCACCATCAACAGTAATGTCCTGACCAGTGACGAAGCCCGCCTCGATGAGATACAGCGCAGCATCAGCGATGTCCTTCGGCCTTCCAGCCCTGTTGGTCGGGTGATCAGACACGTCCTTCTCACTAATCTGCCCTGCCCAGTCTGCCCCGTTCTCGTCGCCCTCTTTGCTCTCGTGTGCGACCTTGATGCGTCCGGGGGCGATGAGGTTGACTCGAATGCCCAGGCTACCCAGGCTGATTGCCATGGAGTGCATCAAACCAAGCTGACCTGACTTGCTTGAAGCATAGCCCTCTTGGTTCGGATCAGATTGATGCGCACGGAAGGAGCCGATATGAATGATGCATGGGCCTGCAGGACTGGAGTTGTTGGCGTTCTGGATGTGTGCGCCGTGTTCAACATCAGATGCTCGGGCTTTCATGTAGGGGATACAAGCTTGGGACATGGCGAAGGGACCAGTGAGGTTGGTGTCGATGTACGCTTTCCATTCATCGATGGTCGAGAGGTCCTCCATGGTCTTGCCATCCTTCCACTGCGGAGACGCGATTCCGCCGTTATTGATCAACACATCAATGCGGTCGTTGAAGAAGTTGGCCGCCTCTTTGACTTTGGCACGGATGTCTTCGACGTCGCGAAGGTCGCAGATCGCCGAACCAAGCCTACCATCGGCGTAGTATTGCTTGAGGTGGACCTTGGTAGTGTGCTCGAGCTCTTCCTCATCGATGTCGAAGATGTAGGCGTGGTGGCCAGCTTCGAGCATCATCCGAGTCAATGCTCGACCGATGCCTCGTGCACCACCTGAAATGATGATGTTCTTGTATAGCGCGGGTGCTGGTGCTTGACCTGCCATCTTGAGGGTCTTGAAATGTGGAGTTGGTATGATTTGGTATGGATACGTGTTCGCGGGGTGTGAACTTCGCGTAGGTGTTGTTTGTTTAAGTACGTTGCTCTGACGTCACGCCTCAACACATCGTTTACCGCCACGACGTGTGCTGCACGAGATCTTGAAATCGGAAATCTTTACGAGGATCTCATTTTTGCGGGTCTTACCCTTACTCAGAGTTCTAGGCCCAAAACTTATATTGTGTTGTGTTGTACAGTTTGTTAAGGGAAGACAGTTTACCTTCCAAATGTAGTACAACTAGAGTACAACTTAACCATAAACCAGACCTTCTAAGTACGATGATCAAAAGCTGTTCGTAGGACAAGTGATAAGATGTTACCAGTGCCTGATACTGTCACATTCTCGTGAAATCTGGAGCCACCTTGGCTAATCATACATCGAGTGAAGAGAAGCTCAGTATTTTGAGCGTACGGACACCTCATATAAGTAAGAACCTGAACAGATGTGCAGACTACACCATGATAGACCATATTAGATAGAAGATAGATAGAAAGATCCGGCGTCAATGTAGACTGAGAGGGTGTTCAGTGTTTTTCGTGTAGGAGACGTGGCATGATGAATGAAGCAGAGCCATCTTCAAAGTAACGTTTTTGGTGCAGCTGCCGCTTCCCAATCTGTCAACACAGTCGGAGAGGTGGAAGTGAGTGATGAGAAGGTAGCGACTGCCTCAGTCCAACGACACCGCCTGGTAACGAGCCCACGTGGCAGGAGGTCGCTACCATCTTATTCAAACCAAGACTCAACAAGGCACTCACTATAATTAATTTCCTTGCTCCTACACACCCCGTCAACTCTACACATAACACCACCACGAATACGTCTGCAACATGGTTCGCACCTCTACAGCCGCCGACCCCCAGTGCGTCCACGCCATGGTCGCTGAAGACGTTCTCAAGTTTATGTGTGGCCTCATGGTTTACGTCTGGTTCGCGATGGATGCCTTCTTCAACATGACCAGCGAGAACAAGTTCCCAGCGGTGTTGGCGTGGCTAGTGCTCATTCCGGTACGTACGGCTGAAGATAAAATCCGTATCCGCTCTAACACATTTCAGATCACTCTGTTTCTCCTTACAAACATCGTCGTTGTACACGTAGACGCGATCTCCAGGAAATACAAACTCAGCAATGACGCCGTCACCGGGCTCCAATACATACTCGGTTGCATCTACGTACCGGTATTTCTGTCAATATGTGCGGCGATACAATTTGCAATCCCGAAAGGCCACCTACTGGTCTGGTCTTCCTTCTTTCTGCTACCGGTAAGTCCTCGTGGTAGAGCCTGTATCGACGATTCTAACTCTTCGTAGGTCTGTGGCATGCTCTTTGCCCTCGCCATCGACGCTGGTGTCAGAGGATGGTAGGTGGAATATCCCTGCCTGTGGATTCGGTTGAGGAAGGGGCGACTTCAAACGAAATGCGCAAACCTTTGAAAGACGGGGAGACGGGGAACGGAAAGCAAGAGACCAGAGACAATGGATAGAATCAATCATGTCACCATATTACACCTGAGTGAACGTAAAAATCGCATCCATAGATCTTTTATCAAAACACGACAACCAAATCCCTCCTGACGCCAGTGAACACCGAGTTCCGTCAAAGTACAGGTATATGACCACATGCATGCAATCGTTTGAAATCAGAAAAGCGCCGTCAGCCCATTGTAGCTCAACATTCCGTCTATTGCGAACGCTGGTAAACACCGACAACCATGGCGTGGTCACGCTCAAAGGGCTCAAGGGTGAGCTGCTCCTTGGGCTTGATGCCCATCTCTCGTAGCTTGTTGACTTCCTGTGCGAAGACGGCCTCGGGGGCAGCGGTGGAGTCGATACAGTTGGCCTTGATGGAGATGACGATACCACCTCCAACCTTGAGGAAGAGTCCGGCGTTGAGACCGACGATACGGGCTTGATCGGGCTGGGCAACGTCGGCGAAAATGCAGTCGACCATGCCGACGAGCATGCGGTACTTGAGAGGGTGACGGGCTGCGGATTGTTAGCGAATGTCAGAAAGATGGAACGCAAAGTACATACCATCCTCAACGATGGGGATGACGTTGGTGCGGTGGGTAGCCATGTTGATCAGATCACGGCCGGAGCGGTGGGAGAACTCAACAGCGAAGACGGTTCCCTCAGGTCCAACGATATCAGCAACGTGGGAGACTGATGTTCCGGAAGCGGCACCGAGGTACAGGACCTTGGAGCCAGGGCCCATGTAGATGTTGTCGACACCACCCAAGATACCAGCGGCCAACTTGGAGCGGAAGGGGTTCCAGACACGGTACTCTGTGCTGGAGGGGGCTTCGGTCTCGCCATCCTTGGGCGCGGTGCTGGCACCAACGCTGATGCGCTTTTCGCCGTAGACAGACTCGCCGGGGGTCAAGTTCTTGGTAACGAGGAGATCCTCCTTTCCGCGAGCGACGAAAACACCGGCATGACGATGGCTAGAGAGGTGGTTAGTAGCTGTCTTGGGCGCTTTCGAGTCGTCTTAACTTACGGCTCAACAATGACCTTGGCTCCTCCGCGCGCTCCTCCACGGGCACCTCCTCGGGGCGCACCACGGCCTCTTGGGGCTCCGCGACCACGAGGAGCACCACCACGGCCGCCACGGTCACCACCGCCGCGACCTCCGCCGAAGCCACCACGTCCACCCCTGGGGGTGAAGCCACCGCGACCGCCACGGTCACCACCAAATCCACCACGTCCGCCGCCGCCACGACCGCCTCTGTGAGAAGTTAGAACTGCGCTGCAGATAAATGTTCGTATATGAGTACGGAGAAGCTCGTAGTTCCTGGATTGTTCTAAAAACAGCTCAGAAAGAACAAGCTTCTCCGTAGCGTGGAGCGCGCATGCTGAGCGAGCAGACGTCGAGATATGTAGTATCTGCAATCACATCTTGCTCAACGTGCCGCGGTTCGCGCATTGTTCATATTGCGATGGGATTTCGAGGCTTGCGGAAGTCGTACCTGGGAGTGAAAGCCATTGCTGAAAGTTGTCGGGATAGTTCGAGTAGGTTATGGAATGCGAAAGCTACTGCGCGAGGTTAGTCTTGAGATGGCAGAGTACAAATATCAGCCCAAGTACCTCTGGGTGCTCTGTTCCACTATATGCGCGTTGACTGTGCGCGTTGAAGTGGCTGTGGGTACGGTATGTCGCGGTAGATGCGATGGGTGCAGCTTTGAAGTTCGCAGAGCTACATTTTTTCAAAAGTAGCGCCAAATCTGCGCAGCCAATCACGTGCGGGAGGCGCAAGCGGCCCGCTATAATGCCGTGGGCGCGACTTTGGCTTTTTTCGGTTGGGTCTGCGACTTAGTCATCAAGGCCACTTTCGCTCGAGAAGTCGTCGAAATTACCTACCACGTCGGCAGTCCACTACTAACAACAGCACAACTCGACAAAATGGTACGTTGCCCGTCGCGATATACTGTCGGACCTTGCATGCACGAACATGGAATTAATTCTTGCAGGTTCGCTACGGTGCCTCCTCCATTGACGGCGCAAAGTCTGCTCGCGCCCGCGGCAGCTACCTCCGCGTATCCTTCAAGAACACCCGCGAGACCGCCCAGGCTGTCAACGGCTGGAAGCTCGACCGCGCCCTTACCTACCTCGGAAATGTCCTGGAGCACAAGGAGGCTATCCCCATGAGGCGGTACGCCGGCAGCACTGGACGCACTGCTCAGGGTGAGTAGCCCTTCCCACGATTCGCACAATGCGCAGATGGAACTTGGCACGCGAGGAGGAGCTACCGGGTGTTGGAGATGGATTCATGTTGGCAATTGCAGGAACACGGGCTGACTTCCGCAGGCAAGGCTTTCGGTGTCTCCAAGGCCCGCTGGCCCGTCAAGTCCGCTGAGATCCTCATCGGTCTCCTCAAGAACGCCGAGGCCAACGCCGACACCAAGGGTCTTGACACCAGCAACCTGATCATCAAGCACATCCAGGTCAACCAGGCCCCCAAGCAGCGAAGGCGCACTTACCGTGCTCACGGACGTGTATGTACACACCGGTCCACAATTGCACTCCCCTCTAATATACCTAGATCAACCCGTACATGAGCAACCCCTCCCACATCGAGCTCATCCTCACCGAGGCCGCCGAAGTTGTCCAGAAGTCCAACCAGACCCTTGAGCGCCGTATGAACTCCAGGCAGCGTGGCCGTGCCGTCCGCAAGGCCATCACTGCTTCTGAGGAGTAGAGGAAGCAGGGGAAGTTGATGTTCCGGCGAAGAAAACGGTCAAGGCATGGGCACGGTTTGGGAGTCAATGAGCGATGAATATTCAGGGTCTTTCCACACTCGTCATGTATTCATGATATGGCACTTCGATTTCTGCGGTGTCTGGTCCGTAAAAATAAATAGGGCCAAGGCCTGTTCCCAAATGTTCAAAGCCGAGACTTTCAAGTCGCAAGTTCACGATGTTCGCCAGTGTATTCGATTTCTCTACGATGACAGGACGCTGAACGATTTAGGCGGTATATCTTTCCCAAGGTTCGGCCGCAGTCATCGACATGTTGTTTCTTACAACGGAGTCCGTCCTTTACGCGTGCTCAAAACGAGCTATGTAGGAATGCGCTGCTTGTTTACGATCCCGTAAGTACCACCAAGAATTTTAGGAATGCTGCTAGAGTGAATTTGCGGTACGATGTAGAGGATCATGGGCGGCTTTGACCAACTATGAACGCATGTCCGAATTGACCTCCACATGCATCGATAGACCCTGAGATTCCAAGAATTCCCGTCGTGTGCCTGGGGCTGACCGCAGGCTGCGCTAGTCCCAATGAGCATTAGCGTAACAGGGAACTTTGGCAGCTTAAACTCAGAATACCAACTAAGCAAGGCCCAACGGCCAGCTAAGCATGCATGCCGCTAATATCTGAGATGAGGCTGGCTGCAAATCCCACATCATTTCCTTCGAGTCAGTTGCGGTCAGATACGATCTGTTGCCTTGCTGCAATTGCTCCGAGCCAACTTTCCCACGATCGATGACGCAGGCCCAGCAAGCCCAGGCATGGGCATGTACCTCGCCACAAAATGTGTCGAAAGATAAGTAGTCATGTATAGACTGGGGTCTATCCGCTGTCAAACGTCTCTTTACACTGATCTCTTTCTTTACTGGTAACGGCAGTCGTTCTTACGTGCATCGCTGCATATCATCTCACACCTACCATCATGGCTCGGCTACACCAATCCACTCGCCACAGGCGGCAAACCCCATACCTCGCCTCTCTCTACGCACTCTTCGCTACCGCCGCATATGCGCAAGACTCAAAACGCGGTTTCGCATTCATTGGCGACTCACACGTACCGGACAATCGGCTACTTACTTCCGACAACTCACCACTGGCATGGTACTACAACTGGTCACCGTACCCAAACAGCGACCTCATTCCCGCGGACAGCCTGGAATTCGTGCCTATGATTCACGGCATAGATGCCACGGAAGACGATAATACCGAACGCGTGATTGCAGGCTTGCCCCAAAGTAGCAAGCACCTTCTCTCCTTCAACGAACCAGACGGCACCGAGGGGAGCGGCGGTAGCAGTATCAAGCCTGAAGATGCTGCGAAAGCGTATATCGACTTCGTTGTGCCCTTTCGGAATGGCGACAAAGGTGGCAGGAACTGGTTGATCAGTCATCCCAGTACAACGGGTAGTCCAAACGGTCTTGACTGGTTACGGAAATTCAACGAGTCTTGCTACGAAATTGACTCAGAGAACGGCTGCCCGGCAGATTTCGTTGCTGTACATTGGTACGGCGCTTTCGATGGTCTGGCAGGCTGGTTAGGCACCTTGGATGAGTTCTACAACACGAATTCGACGAGGGATCAGCCGTTGAAACTTTGGATTACCGAGATGGCGCTTCCACAGCAGGACGAGGAGAATACGGTGGGCATGATGAACCGGACACTGCCGTATCTCGATCAGCTGGACTACGTTGAACGATACTCGTGGTTCGGTGCTTTCAGGACAGATGATGCGAATGAATGGACGGGCGATGGCGTCGCGCTGTTTGATGACGATGGCGGCTTGACTCAGCTCGGTGCGCTGTACCTGGGTAATGGATTCGAGGAGGGACAGAAGGGTGAGGGGGCTGAAGAGGACGCGGCGAGTGGGCTGAGGGTCAGTGCTGGACTGATGGCTGCATTGTCGTTGTGCGCGGCCGCGTTTACGATGCTTTGAACGATGTATACGATACATTTCCTTTTTACTGTAGATACCTTAGCGAATCGTATATAGCAGCGATGAAAGTAGTAATGACGAATGACTCAATATCTTGGTGCCATGCCCAGGTGTGGCTCGCACTGCTTGTATTCTAGCGCGGTTGACAGATAGCCGGTCGGATCCGGCAAAGTTCACGAAACCATCC